CATGCCCATCAACAAAAGAGAACCATAACAAAATAGAAAATTTATCACATGGCTATGATTTAAAGGTCCTTGATCCCTTTTGATGATAGGTCCGAAGCAAGCGAGTGAGAAGATGTTCTGTTGTGATCTGTAAGGTTTTCATTGGCTGATTTTCCAAAGGAGATCACTTGGCCTTTCTTCCTAGTCTTAGTCTAGAAGCTATGCTGAAACCTGTCCACCATGGATGACCCTTCTGGTATTTGAAATACCGGTGGCATATCCTCCAGCATCACAGCAACATACCACAGTATGACAAACTGACATAGGTGATGGTCGTGATGTATACATTGCATACATTCTCATCCTTACGGTGGCACTTGAGTATAACTCAAATATTTTCTCTTTCGTAGCCTATATGAGCATAAAATAAACAGAAGATAGGTGCTTCTGCCATTTAGCAAGTATTTGATGGCATTGAAAGCTCTCTAAATGTAGAAGTTAGAACAGCTGGGTTCAAGTCCCAGCTCTACTCCTTAACAAAAATATGAGTTGAATAAATAACTTCAATTTGTCCAAGCTGGCTTCCTTATCTGTCAAGTGACTATGACAATGCCTTCCGGATTCTCAGAAATATTGTTAGGATCAGCTCGGATAATGTCTATGTCGAGATGTAAGATGTTACTGTTTTTTATTTCTGCTAGCACTCCTTCATCATGATGTCAAAGATAGTGCATGATGTATGGGACTTGGAATTAAACACACTTCCTTCCTAGGTGTGTTTACATCTCGGTTCATTGTGACAAGACATACAGCATGCAGGGGACTTGGCACTGACTCAGCATGAGCCCTGGAAGGACTCTGTATCAAACTTATGACTCTGAATTTGTCCTGATTCACAGAGCCGTGGCTTGCAACCCTCCTGAAAAGGAGTCTTGCTAGTGGGACATTTGACATCATCACCTGCTGGTGATTCCTAAAGCTTTCCACTCTGTGTGTGGGTGTGGGTGTGGGTGTGGGTGTAGGTGTGGGTGTGTGTGGGTGTGGGTGTG